ATTATAACTATAATACAACACACCCACACTTTACCCTTCACCCTTTTCCTCTCTTTCTCTCTCTCTCTCTTTTCCCTTTCACTCTTACATTCTTAAAATGATCTTCATATATTTCCCCCTTATCACCACAACCCTATAAAACAACAATGTATCCCCCCCCCCCCAATCACAGCAACATTTAGACATTGATGGGATGTCCAATTCCCACATACGTCAAAATAAGTTAAGACTATTTGACAATGGAAGAAATAACTGTCAGCTACAGTCACAAAGTATAGGATATTAAATATTTTACTCCTCTTTGTTCTTATTATTTTATCCATCTGGAATTAAATGGCCCAATCTAGGTTTATCCATTTATGGAACAGTAGTGAACATTTTAAAATCCAGTCATAAATGGATTATCACATTTTTACCTCTTGTACCGCACCAACCATAAAACTGCCATGGTGAGGTCTTAGTGTTATTAAGAGTGTAAGAGAGGCCTTGAACCTGGCCTATTTCTGCTGTCCAGCCTTTCTGTCTTCCTCTACGCACCGTTTGGCAGCGGCTTGCATGTTTTTCTCTTGAAGTTGCAGGGTCTCAAATTTCTCGACTTCCTCTTCACTGCTGCATAAGATCACAAAGTGACTGTTCTTTCTGCGGGCGCGTCCCCTGATCTGAACCAGGGCTCGCAAGCTTGTAGGCGGGTTCATGGACACGACGAGCTGCAAGGACTGGAAGTCAACGCCTTCTTCCATGATGGACGTGGCTACAAAAATGTTGTACCTATAGGTCCAAAATGCACACAGAGAAAAACATGAAATAATATTGGACTAAAAATATCATGCTTATATCTCTCCTTATCCGTGAACACATTCTAATGAATTTATTATCTCCCCTTATCTATGAACATATTCTAAAGAATTTATTATCTCCCCTTATCCGTGAACAAATTCTAATGAATTTATTATCTCCCCTTATCTGTGAACAAATTCTAATAAATTTATTATCTCCCCTTATCTGTGAACACATTCTAATGACTTTATTTTCTCCCCTTATCTGTGAACACATTCTAATGACTTTATTTTCTCCCCTTATCTGTGAACACATTCTAATGACTTTATTTTCTCCCCTTATCTGTGAACA